CTGACAATTATTACAAAATGCGAGGAGCTACCGTATTGAGAACCCCTTTACGGTTATCGACAAATTTATACTCGGGCCCTACCATACCAACAGTTCCGTACGCTCCATCGTAGTCCATGCGCCACCGCTACGATTTTTGCTGTTGAACACTTTACATTGGCCCTGCTCATCTCCCCTAAAATCTCTGTCTACTTTAGTCAATCCTCTTTGGCTAAACCACTCTGTTCCACAAGTGCGGGAATATTCGAAAGAAAAGTAGACAAAACACTGAATTTATACTGGCACACAATATTCCGTTTAATCAATTGAGACTTGTTAAAAATTTTACAAGAACAACTTGGTAAACTCTTAAATATAAACTTGAACTGATTATCGCTCTCCAACTTCTCTCGTCTACGTAGGTGGTGGATCTGACTCTTACACTTACTCTAAAAATTAGTCTAAGTCTCGCTAGTTACAAAGCTCTTCCCACAGGAAAGAGTAGGGGACCAATCGTGACCCTGAATTTGGTCGATAGGGTTGGTCTTACACCCACACAGTCGATCGCGCTGGCCCAGCCCCGAACTCTCGAGAGTACGTGCCTCGAACAATGGGCCTGACATGTGGTACGGAGTGAGAGAGAGAGAGAGAAAATACTTGAGTTTCTTTCGGGGAAAAATAAACTGTCTCCGGGAAAAGGTTTTATGACTCTCACGGTTTGATGTTGAGTTCAAATTGCACTCGAAACTCTATTAGAAAAAACAAATACAAAAGAAGGCTTTATTTTCGAGTGGTCGGAGCTACGTCGAGGAATTTTGGGTTTTATAACTTGTTTCCTGTTTATGCGCGCTTTCAATGTACTTTCTAAAAGTCCGTTTCTTCTCTTATTTTCGACCGTGAGAATATTTCGATTAACGTGAATTTAAAAATTATAAAAATTATTGAAGAAAGAATTTGAATCTCAATGGTTGTTATGTCCTACCGAAGTAACTAGGAGGACAGTAGCGCCAATAAATTTTAGAGCGCCAATTTTTGACTGTAGATTCGTTTGCCGCCAAAGCTCTGATGAGCACTCCATCGAAGTCCAATTGTTTGATCCCAGAATATTTGGTTGGAAGGGTTGAATTGTGAAATAAATTCAACATAAGTGCTTAAGAGAGCACACAAACACTTTTATTCAAAATACTTCAACTTCAGACTTTAAACTTTGCACTACAAAAAATGAATTTAATAAACTCTAGAAAAACTCTACTGAAAAACTATTTGAAGAGAGAAGCTGGAAGCTAAAGGCTTCACCACCAATCTTCACGATGGAACTGACTTAAACTTAAACTTAACTCCAAGGGTTGGGTCCGCAACCCCACTGGACTAAAAGTTGCGCGCGCAATCCCGGCCCAGGGGAGAGGGAAAAGTGAAACTCAAGGAAAAGCGGGGAAATGAAAAAAAAGGGGAAGAAGGGGAGCGTGTGACGTCGTGAAACTTCGTCGCGAATGGTCTCAGGCCCTCAGCCTAGCGAAACAATGAACAAAGGAGAGCCCACACATGTTGGTCACGTGAAACAGAGAAACTTTCGAAATAACCAGAACTGAGATTTTACGACATGGGACCGTAACCGTTAAATTTATTTTCTTCTCTAAATTTTGGATTTTCGAGGACAGTGTTTACTCAACGAGAATTTTGGAGGGTTGTAAATTATAAGAACAAAACTCAAGTATTTGACGTTTACTATTTCCGTAACGGTTTTTCTCACGCTTGCGATGCTGTTTTTCGTTCTCTTTGTCCATTGTATTCCAGACTTTCTTTATTCTTCTATTTCTGGCATATTTTTAATTTTCTGAACTATTTAAATTATTTTCCAACATTAATTTGAATCTCGCGGACTGCTATGGCCGATTAATAGCCCCATCTATAAATTTCAACGTCAAAACATCACATGGTTTAGTCTGGTGGAAAATATGACAATCATAGGGACCCTACGTCGCTACTAGGGGTCTATGCGACACACCTGTCATACTAACTGGAAATTTTCCTTTGGGACGACCCTACCCAAGCCCAGCGGCTCGCCGAAACTTCTCCCGAGTTTTACTAGACGTTGGAACCGCTGGACCCAATGAAACAAATGTGGATACATTCAAAAATAAATGGTAATACGATATACATTAGGACTAAATAAATTATTCGCTAATAAGGTTGAAAAGCAAGAAAATATTGTATTCAGTAATGAAATAATAAATTGTGAGAAATAACGGAATACCACTAAGGTATGCTACAGGGAGCTATTCTTAACTTTTGATGTCGCCGACACCAAAACAGGGGACAAGGACCACTGGCCACCGTGCACGGCAGTCCCCGCCCGTCTCTTCCCCTCACGCAGACAATGTCCCCTTCCCTCCGCATATTCTCTCGGCGTCGGGAGTTCAAATCACGTTCGCGTGGTTTTTTTTCATTTTTTGCTTCCGAATGGAAGCATTGTAATCGTTCTATTTTTCGATTTTCTAATTTTGCTTGGAAATGATGTAGAATGATCTGAAACGTAAAAATACGAAGTTTGGGGGAGGGTGTCTGTCAGTGTCAATGTCCATCGCCACCTGCCCGCTGGTTTTTTTTTTGGAAAATCGAGTAATAAATTGACTAAACTTATTCCGAAAAATCTGAAATTTTGTCAGATTATAGTACTTAACTAGGACTAACTCTGTGCCAAATTTCAGCCCGATTGATCGAATGGTTTTTGAGAAAAAGCTATTCATTTTTAAATCGTTTTTCATTAATATCTTCGAAACTAGCCAACCGATTTCAATTTTTTTTTTCAAAATATTCGTCTCGATGCCTTCTATCTGAATCAATCAAAACATATATAGCCGTTCATACAAAGTTTTCGAGATATTTCAGATTTTCAGTTTTTCCATAAAAATCCTTGTAATCACGCTAGCTTGTGCAAAAATGGAGGAATCAACTTGAAATTTGGACAGAATCTTCCCCCCGCGATGACAATGTTTCTTATAGAAAATGAGCCCAATCGACCGAGTAGTTTCCGAGATATTCGACTTTCCCTGAAAACCTTCTGTCTGCAATAGCTCAGAAACTATTCAACCGATTTCAATTTTTTTTTTCAAAATATTCGTCTCGATGCCTTCTATCTGAATCAGTCAAAACATATATACCGTTAATCTAAAGTGTTCGAGATATTTCAGATTTTCAGTTTTTTCATAAAACTCCTTGTAATCACGCTAGCTTGTGAAAAAATTGAGATATCAACTTGTTACAGATCCATTCGGAAGCTTACTACCAATGGGATTGGTAGAAATGAAAAAAAGAAAAAGAGTTATAACACATAAAGTAACGGTCAGATGGCTTCGGCCAAAAAAGCTCGAANGAAAAAAAGAAAAAGAGTTATAACACATAAAGTAACGGTCAGATAGCTTCGGCCAAAAAAGCTCGAAACCCTGCTTGTTTTTCTTGTTTTTTCTTTCATTATGAAAAAATTCCGATCTGATGATGATTAGAGAGTAGTACGATTAAAAATCTTACGAGGAAAATCGAATGGGCTTTGTTTCATGAGATTTCGAAGATGTTAATTTGGATGTACCTGGACGGGTTAAGTTATGAGGGTAAAATACGGGTCATATGAGTAAAATAAGAGTCCCCTTCGATTTCAGGACATCTACGAAAACTCATGATGAGTTCATCGACTGAGCCCTATTTTCTCAGCGATTATATAGATGACAAATGATCGAGGGTTTTTCATTGAGTACTATAATAGAGAGGAAATAATTAATTATGGTAGAATCGGCCTGGTAATAAATAGGTGAATAAGACATAATAAAACGTAAAAATATGTGTCAATATTCTTTTTATTTTTTATTTTACACAACGGAATTTCACATGTTCTTCAGTAACTTTCACTTCAAATACACATTTCATAACGTTCCCACCAGCCGAGCAATACCGGTTGGCGCCTCAGTATGCTAGACGAGGGCGAAAATCCCACGCGTGGGATTTTCGTGCACAGCTCTCCGGCGCATGGGATGTTCGCGCGCAACTCTGCCGCGCACCCACTGCCACTGGGCATACGCAACTCCCGCAGTTGAAATCCGGTGAATTTTATATCAGAAATAATCTTTCGAACCGAAAACAAATGAACATGACGTATTAAAAATTAAAAGACCATTTTGACAGGATTCTACGTGTTAATTTATCGATAAATGTTCCTTATTCCTGATTTATTGGAATCCACTTAAGATCTAAAAACGTGAAATCGTCTTTCAACTCAGATTTCTCAAATTTTAAGGATCTTAAGGATAATCGGGCGAGGAGGAAATGTAGTGAGGCGGAGGGGTTTCTATTGTTTTCCTGCAGAAAACCAATCGCTGAACAAAAAACATTTTTCCCATTCGAATTCAAAATTCAGGCAATATTAGGGAGTATCTCCGGTTAAAAATTATTTTTGGAGCTAATCAAATTTATTTGTATCTGTTCCACGCAATGAATGCTTTTCAGACTGTTTTTTTTTTTTATAAATGAAAAAATATTAATCCATGCGAAAAAGTGGCAACATCGTTGGTAGTGTTTTTTTTTCACCAGGAGCTGGTACCACTGGTTCGAGGGAGCTCCAATTACAACGCTTCATCGCTCTCTCTGAAGAGACGTTTAAATTGACCACGCTACCCCCACCCGATCGGTATTTGAGACGTTCCCAAGTAGAAATCCTGCGACAGTGTCGCTCGAAAAGCTGCCGGATCCCAGTCATCTTTTTGCACTCATCTGTATGTCATCAAAAAGATGGAAAATGCGACATTGTACCGAATCCGTTGACAAACGGATGTCTGCTTCACCATATCTTTACGACATTCTCAAAAAGTATCGGGAAGTTATCTCTGAGACACAACCTTTTTGTTATCTTCAAAAAGATATCAAATAGTTGTCTTCCTGGTATCTTTGAAAAGTCATCTTTATTATGACAACTTAAAGTTATCTCATCCGTACTCCGAAAAGTTGTCGTCATTTCCATATCTGATAGTCAACGTCCAATGACTTTGGAAAAGATATCGAGAGTGCGGTATCTTGTAGGCATCTTTCAGACATTTTCCTGACTGTCTTGAAGATATCGCAACGGAGACGTAAACAAACCATAGTGTCAGAGACAAACGCCACTTCTCCGTCTATATGTCGTCATTGGGATAGAGTGAAAAAGTTAACTGAAATAAGACATTTTTTAGACATCATCCATTCTGTACAACGCAAAAAAGTTCGTGTCATTATTTATCTGAGCTTTTATATTATTTACAGAAATAACATTGCTGAAAGTTTCATTATTTCGGTAAGTACATTGTTCTTTATATATACGCTATTTAGATCGTGTTTGACGAGTTAATTCCATTGTTCTAGGAGTGATAAACCTTGAAGACATTGCAGTGTAGGTTATGTGATTTTTTCTTTGAATAAGTCCACTCATTTTTATAATTATTAGTATCATGGCGACACGAAAGAAGAAAAATTATAATAATCTATCTCGACGTCAACAACTGCGACGTCTTGAGGCACTTAAAACTCGTATACCTGTGCTAAAAACTATCCCCCTCACTGTCTCTCTGTTATCCCAAGGGGCTTCTACCCTTCATGATTCAACTTCACTTGTTGAGAGGAATTCGTCGCTGGTAATTCCTTCACAAAAGTTGATGTTTAACGAAGTAATTGATGAATACCGAAGGGAGGGAATTCGAGAAGTTGACAGGGAAGAATTAGAGGGTGAAGAATTTGATGCTGGAGGGAATGCAGAAATTGAGGGGGAAGAATCAGGGGGCGAAAAATTCGGTGCAGGAGGAGATGAAGATGATGAGGAGATTGTTTCGGATGAATCTCCTGATTCTGTATTCGATTTGAAAAAATTTCTACGTGTCTGGCACCTAAAACATAAGATTTCTCAAACAGCAACTAGTGATCTTCTGAAGGGACTTCAACAGAGTGGCCAAGATTTACCTGCAACAACCAAAACATTGCTTTCTACCCCTAAACGTAATCAAATCAGAGATCTCGGTACTGGAAAGTTTGCGTATTATGGACTGGAGAAAGCTATTTGTGATCAACTTCGTTACGTTGATTTAGAAGCATTCCCAAATGTCATAAATCTTTTCATAAATGTAGATGGAGTACCCATTTCTAAGAGTTCGAAAAGTGAGTTATGGCCGATATTAGGGAAAATTGAGCATTTGGACAATTTCGATCCGTTTGTAATTGCCATTTATCACGGCACATCCAAACCAGAATCTGTTGAAGTCTTTTTAGACGAGTTTATCGATGAATATTTCATTTTAAATGAGGAGGGTTTTCACTTTAAAAATCGACACTATAGAGTTCACATAAAAGCTTTTTTGACTGACACACCTGCCAGAAATTTTTTACTCTGCTTCCCCGCCCACAATAGCCGTTGTGCTTCCTGCATCCAAGAGGGGATCACAATTCAGAGTCGCCGATTGTTTTTGGAGATAAAAGGAGCTTTGCGCACGGATGACAATTTCCGAGTTGGTCTTCCTGATAAATTTCAAAATGTTTATTCACCTCTAGAATATGCTGGCTTCTCCATGACTACACAATTCCCCTTGGATTATCTACACTTGTTGTGCCTTGGGGTGATGAAAAAATTACTTCTTATATGGTATCAGAGAATTAAATCACCGCAAGTATTTTCTACCATTAATGGTTTCTTTTGTTCACTCGGCCGTTGTACACCATCTGATTTTCCCCGTAAGCCACGTACACTTGAGGAGGTTACTCGTTGGAAGGCTACCGAGTTTCGTTTGTTTCTTTTGTACCTAGGGCCAATTCTGGTGCCTCTTTTTCTGGATGAAAGGAAAGTTATTCATTTCAATTCTTTGAACTGTGCCGTGAGAATTTTATGCGATCCGAATCTATGTGAGAGTAACAATGAATACGCTAATCAGTTGATGGAATATTTCGTAGAAATGATGGAGGTGCTCTATACCAAACTGAGTATGATATTCAATGTCCACAATTGTCTCCATCTGGCAAATTATGTAAAACTATTTGGACCGCTAGACGCATTCAGTTGTTTCCCCTTTGAAAATCAATTACAAATAATGAAGAACTTGATCAAGAGTGGAGCTTTACCCTTAGCTCAAATAATGAATCGTATGATAGAGAGGGCCACACATTTGCCTCCACGTCACCCTACTATTCGAGATGGGTTTACTTTTTTGGGGGAAAAAAAAAACTGCGAACTTCCACCTGGTTATTACGATGCCCATCGTTCAATACAATTTTCTAATTTCGTCTTAGCTGATCATCCACCAGAGAATTGCTGTTACTTACGGAATGGGTCCATTGTACTTATTCAGACGATTTGTTTTCATAATAAAAATCATGTAATCATCGGTCGCGAAATTATTAATTCTGATCGTGTAGAAAATTATCCTTGTGACTCTCGTAATTATGGGATTCATAAATTCACAGAATTATCAGAATTGAAAACATGGCCTACGAATGATATTACTCGAAAAGGTTTTGTCATTCCCTTCGGGGAAACAGGCTATGTATTTCCAATCATTCATTGTCAAGCTTAGATAAGGACATAAGTATTAATGAATATATTACGAGATATCACAAAATCCTACATCATGACTCACACGTAGCCACAACTTTTTTCTCATTCTCCCAGCTAAAGAGCGAAATTTATCCTTCATCATTTTTTTATCGAGTAATATGACTGATCGAGGGCGTGGGCGTGGACGTGGAACTCCACTACAGCCTCGTGAGTTTATCCTTCATTTCAAGACGTCCTAGCATAAATTCCGTTCGGATATTTTAATTAATTCACGCTCCTCTTTCAGTTCAACCTTCAAATGTATTTAGAATGCCGCCTCAACTGACCCCGAACGATGGTGGAAGAGCATCTGGACAAGAGACGCAAAATACGCGTAAGTTAAATGAAGTTACGGTACAACAACTCTGAAAATTACAATTATTCATTGTTTTTCAGCACCTCCTGCTAAGAAAAACAAACTATCCACCTCAACCAAAGTTTCACAAAATGTGACACCTGCACCAGCGTCACAAGCTAATATTTCCTTCAATAAAACGAAACAAGTAGTGACACTCCCAAGTATTCCTATTCCCATCCAGTCGTCCATGCAAATTCAAAAAGACGTGAGTACTCAAGACAAATCCGATGCTGAAGTCTCCAATGAATCGTCCCAAATCATCAAGCAATTTGCAACAAACCAACGTCAAGTTGAGTCTCAGCAAACATTGTCAGCTGGAGGTTCAAAAGGAGGAAAGAGTATCCATGCCGACAGAACGAGGTCCACGCCGGCAGCGACTTTAATGTCCCTGCCCCCAATAACGCAAGAGATACTTCCGGTTCCGGTCCCCAACACAAGCAGATACAGGACAGGCTGTAATCGTTCAGAGAATCCAGTCAGAAGCTCAACAATTGGAGCACTTGCTAGCCACTGGATCCTTAACTGGTATACTAATATATTGATATTTTTTTATTGATAGACAGTAATTTTATATATTTCTAGGGACTCTAGGGTTGGGAAGGGAGGAAATGGCTGACTATTACTCAGAAGAGGAAAATAAAGAAGAGAAAACGAGTAACGATGACAATGAGGAGAATGGTAGTGATGCAGGAGGCTCTGGGGGTTCAGATAATTCTCGAAGGACTCCCCCGCTTGAAGTACAAAGGGGAAATCCTGGTGAGATGGGTCAGAACAAGAATCGTGTCCCGCCTAATGATGATACACCTCAAAGAATTCAACAGCAGCCACCATTATTGGTGAACGATGGTGGACAGAGGAATGATAGTCTCCGTAAGTTTTTGTCCTTTCATTCTAGATAATTTTATCTATTCAAACATTAATAACATCCCAACGTAATGTTACAACAGACGAAATGAGACAATTGTTGATCAATTTGGATCGAAAGGTTGACAACATTAAGACAACGGTGAATGATAGCAATGAAAGACTGCGAGCATATATTTCAACGCATGGCTTTGAAAATGAGCCTAAAATGGTTCCAGAGCCTTTCAACACGTTACACGATCTTCTTGAATTCGATAAAACTCTGAAAGCAGATGAAGAGAGTTGTAGACGATTCGTAAGTTGCATATTTATTTAACAACTGTTAGATAAGAAAAAACATGAAGTGGGTTACGCCACGGAAGATGTAACTCTCCACGGGTCGTATCATTAACACCCCGATTAATGTTTATATCTGATACATTTCTGTCGAACAAATGACAAACAAAACAATTTGATTTTTCCTTCATTAAATCGGTAAAGGTTTTCCCTATCTCTTAGATCTGATTGAATTTTGAACAAATTCAATTTGGATTCAAATTATATATTCAGCTCAATTTTTATCTGACAATTTCATTTTAATAACTGACAAATCGCTGAATCAATTCAATTTAAAATGAAAACCTTGAGACTGCATCGAGGGACAATTATTTATTTGTGTTTCAGACCTATCAAGTGTGGAAAGTAGGGGGTAAGACTTTGCAGAAACATGCTGCCAATGTAATGACAAGACTAATATCAAACGAATTGGCAAAACGCTGTACCTGGACTGGATTACATGGGACTCAGAAGATAGAGGGTATGAAGTTTTCGGAGATCATTATATCTGCCCTCGCAAATACATGGAAGAACGAAACGGAAGATGAAGTTAAAGAAAGAATAAAAGATTGGTTGAGGCGACCCGGTGACAGACTGAGAAGGGGTCGTAAACATCAAGAGAGACCATAAGAAGTAAACATCATGGGTAAGCCCTTGAAACATGCGGATCCATCACCAAAAACCACTGACTGCAGATATATTGTCTAACTGATTAAGAAAAAAAATATCATAATATGAGAAAAAAAAGCTGGTTTCCACAAATCTTTTTTATGCAATATTGTAACGTTCTTTTAGTAATAAGTGGTACTACTAATCTTATCTATTTACTGCCGTTTATCTCTGACCTTGTAATAGAGTATTTGTCATAAATTAATTAGTTGTACTCAACAAAAGGTGCTCTAATTACTTAATTATAATCTGAAGGGTGAAATAGGTATGAAATCTGCCAGTATCGATTAGAATGAACATTGGCACGCGAATTTTCATCCGTTTCATGAGCTAGCCCCGAATACTCGCGTGAGCCAATTGTTTCTGGTATATTAATTTTATGATTTTTATATTTATTTGTTCGTGAATGTCCCGCGAGCGAACTGAAAAACTTTACTTTTGTTAAGGATTTAGTAACATTTATTGTCTAAAATAAAATTACGATTCTGTTCATGACGATTTGTCGATCATAAGACATTCTACTCAATTCATTGGATTTACATTATTTATATCCATGCTCATTGCTTGCTTGTGTTTGTTTGTAAACAAGGAAAAGAATAGTAGAAAATAAATTTATTCTGAAATAACAGTTTAGTGGTAACCAATGATCAATGAAACGCTCAGTGGAAGCCATCAGCTTTTGAATGTATTATTAACTTCGAAAAATTCAGTTCATACAAAAAAAAATGAAGAAAAACGTATGTGTTATTCATTAGATATACATAGCTGTTGAAATTTTTCAAGTTTCACAAAGTTTATCTTTAGATTTTAAGAATTTCGTTGATATGCTAAATATATATTGACTTTGATGTAATTTCTTTTTTCGAAGATTTTGTGATACAATAAACACTGTTCATTGTGACAAAAATAATTTTTACTAAATTAATTTACAGGTGTGAAAAATGATTTGCATGAAATATGTACGCAAAATTCCTTTTCTCTCGTCACTCATTATTCGAACTTTCAATTAAACGAATAATGAGAATGACGAGAAAAAAGGAGTTGTGTGTATATATATTTCATGCAAATCATTTTTCAAACCCCCGCCCTAAACCTATCCTTATCTACCATATAAAAGATAACTATTTGGAGGCTAAAAGAGTTATCTTTTAAATATCAATTCGGTGTCATCTAAATGATATCGCAGATAGTCATCTTTTCGACATTAGATTTCCAGCTTTTGTTTGCCTGTTTTTCGTCGTAAATAACGGAAAAAAAGACATCTTTTTGGCTTAACAAAATTTTGCCTAAAAGATATCGTTTCTATGTACAAAAGCGATATCTCAGGGCCAGACATTAGGGATACTTTTTCATACCCAAAATGCCGTCTTTTTGTATTGTCGAAAAGATGTCTCGTGTCTTTTTACAGATAACTTAAAGACATCTTTTTGGCTACAGATTTCTACTTGGGTTGCTGCTCGATTGGGCTGCGTGTGCAGAAATGTCATTTTTCAGTACTTTTTTCGCTATTATTAATAAACAATGCTCCTAGGCGACAATGTTTTTCACTCAAAAATTCATTGATCACATGTTCTAAATGTGTCTAAAGTTTCATGACTTTGGCTGCTTTTTTTCCTTGGGTTTTGCAGTTTTTTGCTTCTAAATGGAAGCATTGTAATCATGCAAATTTAAGTTTTTGATTTTTTGTTTTATATGGACTTATTATGACCCCAAAAGTCCGAATATGCATTTTTTAGACCGTGTCCATACGTGTGTATGTATGTGCGTGTGTATGTGACAAACGTTTTTTTCGATTGTGCGCTAGGGAAGCGATGGAATCGAATAATTTTTTTCCCTTAAATGTAGGTATTGGTGACCCCTATCCACCACCATAAATTAAAATTTAATTCATTCATTCATTTTTAAAATTTTTGAATTTTTTTGAAAATCGGTATTTTCACGATAAATAAAAAAAAATGTTTCAAATTCATTAAATGACGGCTCAAAAAAATTGTTGGGGTCTCTTCTTGACCGAGTTCGGAGATGGAGGTGATAGCCACCATCGTCAGTTTAATTTTTCGAAAAATCAGAAGAAAGAAAAAAAAATTTAAATCAGAGTACTGTAGATATCTCTAGATTTTCGCCCTCAAATGGATTCAATCATAGATTAAAATGTTTGTTTCAACGTTACTAAGTCAGAGTTGAAAGATAATCATGATAGCTGTTTCGATAAATCTTATGTTTGGGATAATTTTTGGAAATTCGGAAAATTTTCATCAATTTTTTGGAAATTTCGGTTTTTGATGATTTTTCCCAGCAACTTGTGCTAAATACATCCAATTAGGCGTGAATAAATGTTTTCTGAGAAAATATACTGAAAATTACGAGGCAAGTATAGAATATTATGTCTCAATTTGATTCGTATCATATTTAACAATGCTATATCAAAAAGTTTGTCGTATGCATGAAGAAGATTTTAGTTAGTCTAATTATCATCAAGGAAGCTTGGATCGACTGTATAGTCATTGAAAAAAGCAGTTCGTTATATATATATATTGTGACGTATGTCTTACCGCTGCGGAAGATAACAGATACGCAGCCCTCAGCGACCCAAACAACAAACCAAAGGTTGGGCGCCAGAACGTATGAAACGTTCACCAAAATCGAAGACGAAATCAAACGAGCGATAAAACAAACAACGATGAGAGAGCGATCGCCGACAGCTCAGATCAACCGCGGATCCCGATCTCTATTACAATCAATAAATTAACGATTAATTAGATCCACCGCTCACCAGAATTGAAGAAATCTCAGCAACAAATTCTCCGGAAAAGTTGGGACTCCCAATGAATCGTCAAAGCAAGATGTCGGAGACAACGAGAATTCGGGCGTCGGTACACAGTAATAATTTTGATAACTCACGAAAAACTTGCGAACTGTCAGTCTCGCCATCCAAACGAGAAGTGATCTCCTCGGCACGCTCGATGGCACATTTTCTCGATTGCCGAAAATCCAGCCCTCTCATTGGCTTTTACTTTCACCGAAGAGACTTTTGATTGGAGAATGATGACGACGTCAACTCTCTCC